TCTGGATGTAGATCCAGTCCTTGTCGTCGGAGAATTGCAGACTTTCGGATTTCTGGAACACGATACCCCCTACACCCTGGGCTATTAGCTGGTAATCACCATTGGTGATCTTCGGGATATCGAAGGCAACGTTTTGCGAGGTCATGGGTGGAACCACCAAACTCTTTTTTACATCAAATGAGGGTCCTTTAATGCTGAGTGTCATATAAGTAGGACCATGTGCGCTGTGCACGGTAACGGCCACGTTGAAAGGACTGTTGGGTCGAATGTTCTTTGCTGCCACAATGGAATAAATACTGAAAAATAAATAAATAACATCGCTCATATTTAAGAAATCAAAATCCAAATGTGTCTGTATTTTTAATTTATCTGGTTAAATATTAGATTTTGGAATCTATTAAGTGTATGCCCAGAATATTTTCCTGGCCTTAAATTAAGCTTACTTTTGTAATTTTATAAAATTTAAACCTTCTTTGAGGGGATAATACTCAGTCTCTAAGCTGTAAGTAGTATCATGTTATTATAGTTGTAAGTATTATTGAGCAGTGAAATACATATCATATACAAATTTAAATTGCTCTAATACTTTATTCTTTTTATTTGCAACTCGAATTCCGAGGAAAAAATTTCGGATAACGACGTATAAGTAAGGCAAATATACATATGATGAAGAACTAAAGCTTTAAATTTAAAATTTAATTACTGATTGCTGAGCAAACTTTCGTTATCGGGCGACACGTCTTCGGGTTATCATTTTAATTATACAGTTATGACAATTCTATTTTTCTGGTGGAAAACCCAGTTTATGTATATACCAAAATGTATTTTAAAGCCTTATGATTTTTAAGATAAAATATTACTTTAAAATATTACTTAAAGTCCTCGAAGTCAAAAACAACTTGCAAAGGGATCATATCAATTAAAATGTGTTACATTGATTTAAGTTGTGAAAAAAAACACTAATTTGTGTGCTGAATATTAAAGTAAGCTAGCAGCAAAAAGGTTTATTTTAATTAAACCGTACTTGAGTATCTAATTAAAGGAGAGCACTGCATCTGTTTAGCAGTTTCTTCTGAGGAACACAAGCTTATATTTTTAAAGATACATGTTAAATTTGTACACTTACTTTTCGGCATTAATTGACAACACATAGTGCAGCAAAATTGAAATCAAAATTAACCGCATGTTGCAATCTTTTAATTTTTATATTTTTTCACCAGAAGAGCACTTTAGTTTTTCGACCGATTAATTCAAAGCGACAGAAGGCACTGAGCTTATTGAGCTTGGGGTAGACTTCTATTTATATCACATCTTTGACTTGCCTCGCACGGGGAATAAGTACAAGTGTTATATGTCTTATCAGTTTTTGGTAATTCCAGACCTTTAACCTGTGTTCTGAGAATCTTTTTAGTCACCAAAATATAGATTAATGGAAAAAAACAACAAGTGAACTCTGTGCAAATTTCTTGCTGTTGCACATACACAAGCCTTGCCTATAACCGCATTCAAATTTTTTGTTCTCCTGGTCGGGTCCACAAATGTTTGTACATTAGCAACATTTGTGTAAATGCTTGGGTGACGACGCAGGTGCTGATTATATTGAAAATTATTAGTGAAACATTGCAGCATCAGGCTCCCGTGGATTTGGAGGCGTCAGTAGACGTGGGCGTGGGCGTGGGCTGAAGTGGGCTGGAAGGTCGGGCTTCCTCTGCTTTGCGCTGCATGTGGGCTATAAAAATTGATTGCATACTTTGCGGCACACCAAGTGTGCGCTGACTGTGTGCGGATGTCTATGGCTGCGTGAGCACTAGTTACATATATATGTATAAGTTACTGCATTAATTCTAGATCATTCTTGTATATTCTTTGTGTACGTTGTTGTTGTTGTAGAGTTTGCTCTCACTGGGCTCTCTCTCTCTCTTTTGATCTCATTGCTCTCACACTCTATCAGAGAGTTGGGGGTTGCACTATGGGGCCAACGACCACTTTTGTTGGCCAAAATTAATAACTCGCTCAATTTTAGAGATATCGAGCTAAAACTTTACCAATCGTTTTTTGGTATCCTTAGGCAACATATATGTTAACAAGAAAGGAAAGCAAACTTCGGGCGGAGCCGAAGTTGATATACCCTTGCAGAATATTCTGTAAATTATATTCTCCAAAATTATTTATATGATGCATTCTTAATACTCATAAAAAATCCCAACTTCCCAACTTTAAAAACACCAAAGTTATGGCATTTCCAATCGTTCAGTTATATGGCAGCTACAAGATATAGTCGGCCGATCCTTATGAAATTTGGTAGGTCGGATTGATTGGCGAAAAATTAAACCCATAGATAATCCCAACTTTCTAACTTTACAAACACCAAAGTTATGGCATTTCCGATCAATCAGTTATATGGCGGCTATAGGATATAGTCGCCCGATCCTTATGAAATTTGATAGTTCAGACTGATTGGCCAAAAATAAAACCCATAGAAAATTACAACTTCCTAACTTCAAAAACACCAAAGTTATGGCATTTCCGATCGTTCAGTTATATGACAGCTATACGATATAGTGGCCCGATCCGGCTCGTTCCGACTTATATACTACCTGCAATAGAAAGACAACTTTTGGGAAAGTTTCAAGCAGATAGCTTTAAAACTGAGGGACTAGTTTGCGTAGAAACGGACGGACGGACAGACGGACAGACGGACATGGCTAGATCGACTCTCCTGGTGATGCTGATCAAGAATATATATACTTTATAGGGTCGGAAATGTCTCCTTCACTGCGTTGCAAACTTTTGACTGAAATTATAATACCCTCTGCAAGGGTATAAAAAGATCAAGCAAATATATCCCATAGCTGCCATACGATCGATATAGTCAACTTTGTTATTTTTTAAGATAATCGAAACATTTTTTTTTTATTATATACTTTATAATTACATTTATATTATATTTTTTTATGTTTTTTATATCTGCTTCTGAATAGAATTCAAAATGCAAAACAAAATGTTCTTCGTTCCACAAAGGTTCAATGTAAATGCACTAAAATCGGATTAAACAAATTTTATTAATAAGTAAAAAAATGGCACTTGCTATTAAACGCCATGATCTTCGGATTCTAGTTCAATATTTTATTGAAAATCAAAAGGATTCTAATATTCAACGCAACTACTGTTAAGGTTGCAAAACTTGAGTTTATGTACTTAATAATTAAATTTCGGAAAAAGTGGCAATAAGTGGCGATTCTAACCATATACATTTTAAAAAGAATTTAATGCTCTACAAATCTCAATAGGTTTCAGAAATGGACTCCGCTGGACTCACTTTGTTACTCTACTTTAAAATTAGTTTTCTAATTAAAAAACGCGTTTTAGACAACTGTCTTTAACACTTAAGTACAAAGACAGCACGATAGATTTCAACCATTTAAACACACAAACACTTAGTACACACCACCATTCATCGAATTCATATCAGAAACATTTTTTGGAACGCTTATAAACTGATTTTTTAACTACTTTAATAATGCAATTTATAAGTCGAATTTCAAAAGCACGTGGCTTGCGTCTTAAACATCTGATTTAACAGCTGTTATCCTAACAGAAGCGCACTCTATCGGAATTCCTGAAAGATTGGTCTTTTGTTAATGTATTCTAAAACACCTTTTTTGGATTTTACGACTTTTCAAAAATGTGTTTGGCCCAACAAAAGTGGTCCTTGCCCCCATAGTGGGTTGGTGCGAGTCGTAAGCGGAAAGCGAGTTCAGTTGAAAGCCAGCAGTGATTCTGAACTATAAATACAGTAATGGAAAAAATAATAGAAACGACATTTTATTTCGTATTTTTCAAACTTTTCTTCAGTCAATTTTTTTTTTTTAAGTTTAATAATTTTGATTAATAGTCGATACAATTATGTGTCTAAATATACCAAAACAATAAATTTCAAAAAACGTATTAAAAAAAATTTTTAGGCCTGGAAAAAATAATAGAAACGAATGAGTTAATTCTATGGAAAACAGTTTTCTAGCTTCAAAGCCTATTAGTTTAGAGGGTAACTTTAGTATATAGTTATGCCACCGCAATTTTTAATGATTTTGGTTCATGGTTCCATGGAGTACCACTCGGAATTCACTTTCTTCCACAAATCTTCACTAGTTTTGGACTTAAACCCACCAATCCTCTTCTTTATTATCCCCCAAAGGTGCTCTATAGGATTTAAGTCTGGGGACTGCGATTACGGCGATTCATCACAATAATAAGCGCGCAACATCGGTGAAAAATTAAAAAAAATCCCTTTCTCTCGTCGAAACATCTTAAAAATTATTTGAATGCACCGGTTACAAAGTCCAAAAATCGGGAAGATTTGTGGAAGAAAGTGAATTCCGAGTGGAAACTATATCCTATAGCAGTTATATAACTGATTGATCGGAAATGCCATAACTTTGGTGTTTGTAAAGTTAAAAAGTTGGGATTTTCTATGGGTTTTATTTTTGGCCAACGACTATAACTTACAGAATATTCTGCAAGGGTATATCAACTTCGTCTACGCACAAAACTAGCTTTACAGGACCCCGAGCACAATTCCCCCGACCATAGTTATATATATAATATAAATAGTGTTATTACGCCAGATCGAATAAATCTAGCTCCACAACAGAACAACATTGTTGGTTGTCTCAAAAGCATTGTTTGTAATAGTTACGGCATAATTTTATTCTTGTGAAATTCTGTATTATATTGTATTATTTTAAAAACTTAAAATGAATTGATTTTTTTGCCATGTAAGTTTCCCTTTCGCAGGTAACTCCGAATTGGTGCTACTTGAATATTGAGGAAATACCTCTTCCGGCTAGAGAATGCAACACAAAGAAATTATTTCAATTATAGAACTCTATATTTAATATGTATAATAACTGTATAGTGTAATAATTGATTGTCTTGCATAAATAATAAATCTTATAAAAAACTTGAATGGAAATAAATCTTCTATGAAGCGTTTTAATCTTTCAAAGACATCCGTCTCCGCACTCTTCGCCGTGGCAGAAGTCGCACAGGGAGGACTCCACGTTGTAGTACTCGGTGGCGATGCACTCCTTTTGGTAATAGTCGTAGAGGATGACATACGACGGCGTCAGATTGGCCACCGGGTGGTTGCGGATCGCCTTAACGGTCATGCACTTGCGGACATTGGTGTCCGCTTTCAGCGATGGCCTTGATATTTGCGAAGGACTCTGGATCGCTCACATAACCGGATGGCAATTTGATCTTCATGAGCGCCATGTTGGTGGGCTTGCCCTTGTCGGAATCTTCAACTGGAGTATACTCGGCGCAAATGTCCAGAACGATACGTTGTTTGTCCGATTTCTTAGCTATTGTTGTCAACTTGAAATTGGGTTCCTTCTCCTTGGTGGCCACGTTGAAGCGGTACTGTATCTGGAATTGAACGCGACCATTTCCTGAGGCCGAATACTTAACATCCCGAGTGTCTTCCGGAAGCGGGTAAGACTTTGTTTCCCAAGGTGTGTCGGGGTTGATGAATATGGTTTCCTTGGGCAGATGCGCGACGATTTCGACGGCCGGAGCGATTTCAATTTGAACGTTAGGTGGTTTTTCGTTTAGGAGCTCGTACTTGGTCAGGGCCATGAGGCCGACTACTGTGTCCTGGGTCGAGGCGAAGCCACCGTTGCTGTTCCGCTTGCTGATCAGCCAATTGACAATCTGATCCGTTGAATCCATCGATTGTTTCTCCAAAATGGCGAGCAGCACATAGGCAGTGATCTCGACGTCGTTGCTGACGCTGTTGTCCGACCTGGTCCACCACTTGCGATCGTCACTATGCTTGGCCAAGTTTTCCAACGTGTTCAGGACCTGTTCGGCCTTTCTGTTTCTGGCCAGCTGGAGCGCAAAAGCGGCGATGGCCAGATCGTATGGATCATTTGTCTGGTCCACCTTCTGGGCCACAAATTGAACGGCTTTGTCAATCACTCTCTGGTATCGGTTCATGTATTCCTGTGGGTAAGTGAAAAATGTTGGGTCAAATCAAGAGGACAGACATATTATTGAACTTTCAGTTAAAACGATTTAAATCGGAATATATATACTTTATATTTACTAAAATTATAATACCTCTGCAAGGTTATAACAAAATACAAATGTACAGCATGAATACGCAAGCTAATACCAATATGATATGTTAACTAAATAAATTTAAATAAAACACATCATAAATATTTTAAATATTAGTTAATAGATGTAAGAAATATTAATATCATGCAACACAACCTTAATTATAAATTTGGGAATTTTAAAATCTTTTTTTAAAAACAAATAATCTTATCAAACAAATATATCATTGCATGGTATCTCTAGTTATATTCTGTCAAGCTCACCTTGTTCTCGAAGAAAGCCAACAGGACGAATGAGGTAAGTGCCAAGGGGCTGCCATGGTTATTCTGAATGAGCCTTCCCAGCTCCGGGAACTCGCCACTAGCAACCTGCCGGGACTCCAGAAAGTCGAGGCCTCTTGCCATAACGTTGTCGTCAATATGCACGAACTTTTGTGCCTGGTGGAAGGAACGCAACACATATGCTGTTAGCCAAGTGCTTCCCGCACGATCACTCTGGCCCCAGACGCTGAAGGACCAGTCGTCTCGCTTGTATGTCAGTTCTCTCTGGTAGCCAGTCTCCAAATATGTCTTAGCTTGGGCCGATAACGCGGGATTTTTGTTTTTCCGCTCCTCCAAGTAGCCCAACACCAGGACATTGGGCACGAAGTTAACCATGTTCTGCTCCCCGCAGCCTTTTGGTTCAAGAACCAGGCCATTTAGGTTATCAAGCTGTGGCGCCTGGATGGTCTTGGCCACTGCCGCTCCTACGACCATTGTACCTGGTACAATATCTTCGGGTTGCTCCACCGTTATCGTCCGTTGTGGCATAAACATTGTGTGACGACGATGCAACCGTTGAACGTTAATCAATACAGCTTTGTTGACGTACTTTGTTACGCCATCGGCCTTTACCTTAAGTCTTTCATGAATAGTGTCGCCGGCATTTGGCGCGAGTGCGGTGATTTTCAGAGTGATCAGACCTATTTTCTTGGGCCGGATCATGAACGATATACTGCGTCCGGTGTTGGCGGGTATATAAAGCGACTTCTCCCTTCGCAGGTGCAGAAGCTCCTTGGTCACATTCGCACTGGTGGCCTCAACAAACTCGTACTCCCTGTCAGAGTTGTCCATCGATACAGTGGCCCGGACAGGTCCACCCAGGTAGTTGAACACCAGCACGGGAATGGCTACCACTTCATTCCGCTTCACTGAGTAGGGGAGGTTGGTGGTTGCAAAGAACGGTTGGAACACACGAACAAAGGTTGGGTCCCGCGTCACGGCAAGGCCCGTCTTGGCGTTCAAAGAAAAGCCACTGACCACCCAGGAGGTCATCGTATCCGGCATCGTTTTGGGCACATAAATTTCACCATTGTCACCCACGCTATTGAATTTTGTTAATATTGGTTGGGCAATGCAAAGTACGGCCACTTACTCTGATATATCATCAAAAAACCAGGTTTCAGGGAACAGCTTACGAATCGCTGGAGGTGCACCTTGCGTTTTGGTTGATCCAATTGCGGTAGGAGCTGAGTTCTTTTCTGGAATTTATTAATATTTTATTGGAGCAAAGAAATACCATGAAACAAGTGGGAAATAGCTTACCTGGTCCCGATTCAATAACTCTGCTTCGACTGGGAGGGAAGGCATAACATTTCTTCAGGTCATCTGAAAAATTAAGATATTAAGTCAGGTAATCATTGTTCAATTCAAATAATCATTTCTTACCAGGATTAGTATAACAGCCACCTGTTAGGGGTAATAACGTTTAGAAAAAGGGATTCATATTAATTACATTACTCACCGCTCTCTATATCGATGTAGATATTTGCATTGGTTATGGTCACCACATCGGTCGAGTATTTGAGGAGATTGTTCAATATTTGGTTCCGGTTGAGATCGTTGCCAGATCTAAGAAGCAGTACACTCTGGTCCACTCCAAGAAGACCAACGAAGGAATTGGGGTCGGTCTTAACCCTGAGGCTCACATTCTGCTTGGGCTCAGTTTCTTCCGGTGCTGTAATTTCAATCTGTGCGGGAGTTAAAAGGAATGGATTAGGAACGTATTTCGTTAAATATTGTATTGCCCTACCGTGTTGCCAAAGTCCTTTTCGATGTCGACAGTTTTCTCGGCGGCATGCAACTCTCCATTAACAACATATTGGACAATAATGGTGGCTTCGGGCACCATGTCGAAAGAGGGCACAAATGTTAAATTCCTACTAAATTGTCTTCCTTCCACTTGTATATATCGGTTAATGATGATGTTACCCCGTGCGACTATCGCCAACATGAAATAGGGAAGATAGTTATCGGAGACAACATTGATTGTTAGCGGCTGCCTTAGTTTGGGTCTGTGAAGTGAAAGATATTATAGTATTATACCAGAAAATGACACCTCTGATGATACTCACTTGTTAGTAATAACCTCGATCTTAAGTGATTTCTCCAGCTTATAAGTATATTGCTTGAAATCGACAGCGTTCTCCAATTTAGCAGTAATAAGGCAACTTTTGCATGTATTATCGGGAAAGATAAATGTGTGGCTGGCGATACTTCTCGGAAAGGTAGATTCTCTTGTCCTATTATTCTGACAGCACAACACGTCAAGCATAACTTTCATTGGCGAGTTTAAAACAGGAGAACCGTCCAAATTCCTGACTACAGTGCGAATGGTATAATTTTTTCCAGGAATGTAGGTAGTAGGCCAAAGGTATTCCTCCAGCTGGTAGCGATGCTCATGGAGATTTACTTGGGCGGTGCCGTTGTGCTTCAGGTCAGTCAGTTCCTCCGTAACAGTGGCAATAATTTTCAGAGGACTTTTCGCAGTGGCCGCAAATCGCTCCATCGATCGGCAGGGTCCTCTCAGTCCCACTGCCCTCCAACGAGACGACGAGTGTGCCCTTCACAGGCTTTTTAAAGGTGTACGTGGCCTTTATCGTCGCCGTAATTTTCCCAGCTCTATTCACAATGTTCCTGGGGGTAATTACCTTAACCTCGAACTTCGGCATCACATACGTGTCCACCACGAACGTCTTTGACTGCTGGCCCCTGTTCTGGACTGTAACTGTCATCGTCCAGTTTCCGAGCACCGGCTGATCGGATAGCTGCAGTTTTTCGGTGAAAACGCCATTGGTCGGCTTGACATTCTCCCACTTTTTGATCATGTTATTGGCTCCGTCGTGGATCTCAATTGTAATTGGCTTGTCGATCGTGGCAGGTTGGGTACGCCTATTCAGGAAGAGGACTCTGAACTGCACAGCATCGCTGGGCTTGTAGGTGGCCTTGTCCGTCTGGATGTAGATCCAGTCCTTGTCGTCGGCGAATTGCAGACTTTCGGATTTCTGGAACACTATACCCCCTACACCCTGGGCTATTAGCTGGTAATCACCATTGGTGATCTTCGGGATATCGAAGGCAACGTTTTGCGAGGTCATGGGTGGAACCACCAAACTCTTTTTACATCAAATGAGGGTCCTTTAATGCTGAGTGTCATATAAGTAGGACCATGTGCGCTGTGCACGGTAACGGCCACGTTGAAAGGACTGTTGGGTCGAATGTTCTTTGCTGCCACAATGGAATAAATACTGAAAAATAAATAAATAACATCGCTCATATTTAAGAAATCAAAATCCAAATGTGTCTGTATTTTTAATTTATCTGGTTAAATATTAGATTTTGGAATCTATTAAGTGTATGCCCAGAATATTTTCCTGGCCTTAAATTAAGCTTACTTTTGTAATTTTATAAAATTTAAACCTTCTTTGAGGGGATAATACTCAGTCTCTAAGCTGTAAGTAGTATCATGTTATTATAGTTGTAAGTGTTATTGCGCAGTGAAATACATGTCATATACAAATTTAAATTGCTCTAATACTTTATTCTTTTTATTTGCAACTCGAATTCCAAAGAAAAAATGTCTGATAACGACGTTTAAGTAAGGAAAATATATATATGATGAAGAATAAAGCTGTGTTTATACCCTTGCAGAGGGTATTATAATTTCAGTCAAAAGTTTGCAACGCAGTGAAGGAGACATTTCCGACCCTATAAAGTATATATATTCTTGATCAGCATCACCAGTAGAGTCGATCTAGCCATGTCCGTCTGTCCGTCTGTCCGTCCGTCTGTCCGTCTGTCAGTCTGTCCGTCTGTCCGTCCGTTTCTACGCAAACTAGTCCCTCAGTTTTAAAGCTATCTGCTCGAAACTTTCCCAAAAGTTGTCTTTCTATTGCAGGTAGTATATAAGTCGGAACGAGCCGGATCGGGCGACTATATCATATAGCTGCCATATAACTGAACGATCGGAAAAGCCATAACTTTGGCGTTTTTAAAGATAAGAAGTTGGGACTTTCTATGGGTTTTATTTTTGGACAATCAATCCGACATACCGAATTTCATAAGGATCGGCCGACTATATCTTATAGCTGCCATATACCTGATTGATCGGAAGTGCCATAACTTTGGTGTTTGTAAAGTTAAGAAGTTGGGATTTTCTATGGGTTTTATTTTTGGCCAATCAATCCGACATACCAAATTTCATAAGGATCGGCCGACTATATCTTATAGCTGCCATATAACTGAACGATTAGAAATGCCATAACTTTGGTGTTTTTAAAGTTAGGAAGTTGGGATTTTTTATGAGTATTAAGAATGCATCATATGAATAATTTTGGAGAATATAATTTACAGAGTATTCTGCAAGGGTATATCAACTTCGGCTCCGCCCGAAGTTAGCTTTCCTTTCTTGTTTAAATTTAATTACTGATTGCTGAGAGAACTTTCGTTATCGGGCGACACGTCTTCGGGTTATCATTTTAATTATACTGTTATGACAATTCTATTTTTCTGGTGGAACACCCAGCTTATGTATTTTTAAGCCTTATGATTTTTAAGATAAAATATTACTTTAAAAATGTTGCAAGTTCTCGAAGTCAAAAAACAACTTGCAAAGGGATCATATCAATTAAAATGTGTTATCATTAATTTAAGTTGTGAAAAAAGACACTAATTTGTGTGCTGAATATTAAAGTAAGCTAGCAGCAAAAAGGTTTATTTTAATTAAACCGTACTTGAGTATCTAAGTTTCTTCTGAGAAACACAAACCTTTATTTTTTAAGATATATGTTAAATTTGTACACTTACTTTTCGGCATTAATTGACAACACATAGTGCAGCAAAATTGAAATCAAAATTAACCGCATGTTGCAATCTTTCAATTTTTATATTTTTTCACCAGAAGAGCACTTTAGTTTTTCGACCGATTAATTCAAAGCGACAGAAGGCACTGAGCTTATTCGTAGGGGTAGACTTCTATTTATATCGCATCTTTGACTTGCCTCGCACGGGGAATAAGTACAAGTGTTATATGTCTTATCAGTTCTTGGTAATTCCCGATCTCTAACCTGTGTTCTGAAAATCTTTTTAGTCACAAAAATATAGTTTAATGGAAAACAACGAACAAGTGAATTCTGTGAAATGTTCTTGCTGTTGTATATACACAAGCCTTGCCTATAACCGCATGTGGTTAAACACAACGCTAAGGCGTTACGGCGCATCCAGGACGCCCAGGACTTCCGGCCCCCCAGATGACCCTCTCCCCCAGACATATCAAATTTTTTATTCTTCTGTTCGTGTTATATGTCATATCAGTTCTTGGCAATTCCAGACCTTTAAGCTGTGTTCTGAAAATCTTTTTAGTCACTTAAATATAGTTTAATGGTAACCAACAAACAAGAGAACTCTTTCCAAATTTCTTGCTGTTGTACATACACAAGCCTTGCCTATAACCGCATGTGGAGGAATTAACGCCAAGGCATCAAGTCGCATCCAGGACACCCAGGACTTCCGGCCCCCAGATGGGCTCCCCCCAGGCATTTCAAATTTTTTATTCTCCTGGTCGGGTCCAAAAATGTTTGTACATTAGCAACATTTGTGCAAATGCTTGGGTGACGACGCAGGTGCTGATTATATTGAAAATTATTAGTGAAACATTGCAGCATCAGGCTCCCGTGGATTTGGAGGCGTCAGTAGGCGTGGGCGTGGGCGTGGGCGTGGGCTGAAGTGGGCTGGAAGGTCGGGCTTCCTCTGCTTTGCGCTGCATGTGGGCTATAAAAATTGATTGCATACTTTGCGGCACACCAAGTGTGCGCTGACTGTGTGCGGATGTCTATGGCTGCGTGAGCACTAGTCAAATAAATGGGTGTAGATGTTTTAGAGTTAAGTAGAAAATGTAGCGAGAATGGTTGCTTTTAAATTTATTTTATTTTCTTTATTTTTTTTTACTAAATTGATTATTATTTAACTAATTGATTGTGATTTGCAAAACGTGACTAGCCCATTGACTAGCAATAACATTAACTTATACTTTAGTGTGATAAGATTTAATACGGGATTGACAAAACTTTGTTTTACTAACCACATTATTAAAGTAAAATAATGTCAACAATTGATACAATCTGCATTATTTTCTCAAAGATTATTATGTAAAAAGCGGTTAAAAATTATAGGAACTAATACCATAACCTTCCCATTCTTTTTTCTCCAATAGCTTGTTCATCAGTCGCTCGCTGTACTTGACAATAATTTGAAAATTGATGATGTGCACACAATAAAGTGTCAAATATCGACACACATCAGCGCACTGGGAGGCCGACATCATGACTGCCGATGCGAAAGCTTTGGAGACAGGACAGCTTTGGCAGCTTTGGAAAATAATAAAGAAGTCCACACGTGAGCCGTGCCAAAAAGCAATGTGCAAAAAAAAATATAGAAAAACCTACAAAAATTGATTGAGCGCATGAAGCGAGACACAGGTGATTTCATCTCAAAAAGAAGGTGGGCGCCGATACAAACTCTCAGGTGGAATGCCGAGGAGCAAGGATGCCGCCAAACCACTTCCCATACTTCATCCTCCAATTTTTCACCTTTTAATAATTTCGTTTGAATTTTTATTGTCTTCCTCTCGAGTCAAACTTATTTGCTGTTGACGTCAAGCGTAATTTATGTGATGCTCCTCACATATTATCACAAAAATATGCAAATATGTCGCCAAATTTGATCAAATAATTTGAAGGTGAAAATTAAATAAGACGTGTACCTGTCAGTACAGCTCCTACCTGTGTTTATTTTTTTCTTGTACATATTAAGTTCTAGCACAAAAAGTGTTTCTAAAATAATAAATATTGCCTTTTACTTGAATTCAATTTTTCCAACTGGGCAACTGAAGCTATTTTCCCAAGGGTTGACATTATCGAAGTTGCTTTTAAAATATACTCAAATTTCATAAATCCAAGGAATGCGTTGAACTTACACTTGAGTTTCACACTTGAGTTCATTTTAATTGTTGCTGCAACACAAAACACTAGTTAAATTTACCTAAAACAAACACCACAGACTTATTCGCGATTTTAGAGCGAAGACAATGCATTTGGTAAGGCACCGCAACACCACTATTGAAAGGGAAGTAGAATCTGACAGAGAGTCCGAGTAAGTTGAGGCTATGTCAAATGTGTGATCGAAGGATAACCCTTCAATCCATAGCTTTCACAGCAACCCGGAAGAAGATACAACCTGGCCCTTGGCGGTGAAAGTGTCCAGGTGAGGGATCATCACGGTTAACAATAATATATCATGAAGTGCACAATGCACCCGCAGGACAACGGTGCACCTGTTGGACTACAAGATGTTCATTGCCGCTCGCCGTATCCAGTCCTATTGGCGTGGCCACCGCGTCCGAAAACAGCTCCATCAGCGCTGGCAGGCTGCGATTACCATTCAACGATGGTGGCGCGGCTTTCGGACTCGGCACAACCTGTGGGAACTTCTGGAAAGGCGTCTGCAGGACACACTCCTCGAGCACTTTCGCCGCGCGGCCATCGTCATCCAGGCTTTGTTTCGCGGCTGGCGGGACAGGCGGTACATTCACAACGTTCGAAACCTGCGCCGCATGCAGTCCTCCGCCGCCGAGGACCTGCTCAACTGCGTGATCCTCCAGCTGAATCACATGAAACGGACCGGGTCACTACCGGGGATCCTTTCGCTGCGAAACTCCCAGTAAGTAACAAATAATAAGATCACTGAAGGTCGTCAGGCTTGTAAGCTTGAATCAAAAACAAGAAAGAAAAGCTAACTTCGGGCGGAGCCGAAGTTGATATACCCAGAATATTCTGTAAATTATATTCTCCAAAATTATTCATATGATGCAATCTTAATACTCATAAAAATCCCAACTTCCTAACTTTAAAAACACCAAAGTTATGGCATTTCCAATCGTTCAGTTATATGGCAGCTATAGGATATAGTCGGCCGATCCTTATGAAATTTGATAGGTTGGATTGATTGGTTAAAAATAGAACCCATAGAAAATCCCAACTTCCTAACTTAACAAAAACCAAAGTTGTGGCATTTCCGATCAATCAGTTATATGGTGGCTATAGGATATAGTCGGCCGATCCTTATGAAATTTGGTAGTTCGGATTGATAGGCCAAATATAACACCCATAGAAAATCCCAACTTCCTAACTTCACAAACACCAAAGTTATGGCATTTTCGATCAATCAGTTATATGGCAGCTATAGGATATAGTCGGCCGATCTTTATGAAATTTGGTAGGTCGGATTGATTGGCCAAATATAAAACCCATATAAAATTCCAACTTCCTAACTTAACAAACAGCAGAGTTATGGCATTTCCGATCAATCAGTTATATGGCAGCTATAGGATATAGTCGGCCGATCCCGGCCGTTCCGACTTATATACTGCGTGCAAAGGAAAGAAGGGTGTGTGCAAAGTTTCAATTCGATATCTTTAAAACTGAGAGACTAGTTCGCGTAGAAACAGACAGACGGACAGACAGACGGACAGACGGACAGACGGACAGACGGACAGACGGACAGACGGACAGACGGACAGACGGACATGGCTATATCAACTCAGGAGGTGATCCTGATCAAGAATATATAACTTTATAGGGTCGGAGATGTCTCCTTCACTGCGTTGCACACTTTTGACCAAAATTATAATACCCTCTGCAAGGGTATAAAAAACTAATACAAAATACATATAAATTTTATAGTTAACAAATCAAAATAATTTTATAACTGTCTTTTTTTAAACTTAAAAGAAAATATTTGGTTTTTTAAATATTTGGTATTTCAATAACTATATTTTGTGATCTGACCAAATCGAAACAATATTAAAATATCTTCTTTTAAAAACGAATTATAATTTATAAACAACGTATCTTGCAGCTGCCTTTCAAAAGTCGAAAAACTGATGAACACTATGTTGTACCGATTTCACAATAATCGGGTGTTCTCGATGGTAGCCAGCACTATATCCCAAAAGGAGGTTAACCGCAGGTACTTTGAGTCCAGCTTGTTCTATACCCAGTTTCCCTATGCCGGTCCCAACTTCAATGAGCTATGTCCTTTCACCGACGAAGAAAAACTGGTGGTCAAGGACTTACCTATTGATCTGCGCTATGCCAAAATTTTTGCAGAGTACGAAGAGTCTCAGCTGGATTCCAATTTAAAAAAATCCCATCGTCGTTCTGTAGATCGTGAGTATTTTTTAAACCGTTACTGGTAGAGTAAAAGGGTATATTGTATTCGTTCAAAAGTATCTCACAGGGGAGTAAACACGAAATTGGTTAAGGGGTATCTAATAGTCGGGACTTGTAGCGTTTCTTTGTGTTTTGATTCTCCAGAGTAATTCTGTAATTGTAAGTCGTCCTTCTTCTTAGGCAAACGGCAAAAGCATATGGACAAGATAATCAATCAAGAAATGCTTGCGAAACGTAAATTCTGCGAGGATGTTAAAGAACGCATGCAAAAATGGAAGATATGGCTCTAACGTTAATACTAAGCCTAGTATTAAAAGAGACTTGATAATCTGCTGAGGACCTACAAAGTAAGCACAACCGAACCCTTTGGCAATTTGGGAAGCTTGTACGAAAAATATGCCTTCGGATAAATTCAAGTCAAACATATCTTTATACACCTTACAGAATATACTCCAATGTTTAATAACCAATCATGGATTTTTATCAAAGCTCAGTTAACTTGGGCTTCCCGAAAAAAGGCAATCGAAGAAAACAAATTAGTGTTTAGACGGCTTCTCATTGTGATTTAGTTCCCACCCCAGAACCTGAAGAATTGGCAACATCTGCCTTTGACTGTTTACTAATTAGCACCTATTTATTCACCTTTGCTTTCTTTAATTTTGTTCCACACTCGCCTTCTGCCTTCCGCCCCACATCATGCAGCACAGCAGCCACATTTTTCATGCGAAGAATTTTCCTTTGTTTTCAGCAGGCATTTAATTTATTTTACTCTTGGCCGGGCCAAGAAAAAGCCGGCATACGGGAGCAATTTGTGAGCTGCGTGGTAAATCTTGGCATGCTTACCTATAAATATTTGACATGGCTACAATAGCAGTCCCTCGGCCAGGAGACGTGGCAGCCACACATGACCCAGCCCCAGCCAGGACTCGGCCTGCTCTGAGCCTGTGGCATACGTGCAGGAGCATTATCCGCATACTTGGAGCGGGTCCTTATACGTGACTGCCGTCTGCAGAGCCTGCAACCGGGTATTCGCGGTGCGGGGCTGGCAAATTAGATTTGCCTATAATTAATATGCACGATATGTGGCGTTAACTTGTGTGAAAATTACTCGGCTCCCTGACGTGACGGAGCGTGGTTCGTGTGGAACGCGAGCACAAAAACCATAGACTCCAATTACAATCTATCTATTCGGCACCGGAGGCCCTTGTTATTCGATTTCAATGCTCGCCCGTAAGTATTTCCTAATTAGTTGTTGATGACAAAGCGACGTGAGTGATTTCTGAAGAGTGGGCCGACTGCAAAAGTAAGGCACAAAATGAAATATGTAGGCAGCTCTGTCACTAAAATCAATTGTCAAATTGGGTTACCATCAAATTAAATTAAATCAAATTAGCCAAGGTAAATCAATTAAGGATTAATGTTTTCATTTATTTAATAAAACCTCGGATTAAATACACAGCGTAACAAGATGATGTACGGATACATTTATTTTTATATTTTTCGCTTAATTCTCTTTTTAGAAGACAACTTATCGTCCAAATGATATGACAACAAAGATTAAGCACTTCTGAAAATGTTCTTTGAATGGACTATATCTTTACTTTTCAATTAAGCTAAGATCGGTAACTTTTTGGAAACCAAAAGGAAGAAATATCCAGCCAAATCAATTGCCAGACTGCTAGAATTTGTCAAAAGGCCTGATTAGACGAATTTCCGGTCCTTGTCTTTCCTCCAATTTCTCCTTTCCATACAATTAAGGCGTTGCCGTCGACAAACTTTTAAGTTTTTAATTAATTTGTTTTGCTGCGGTCCGGGTTGCCGCAACGTAGCTTTTTCCCGACTCCCCTTCTGATCATTTTTCCTTCGGCGGCAGGAGAAAAAAAGGTTAAGTGGTTTCATTTGGCAAACATTTACCCCGACCCGAAACGGGAAGTTCCCCAGCCGCTCATCAATGCCCAAGTGTGTAAGACTTTTAATAGGCTTTTGTGTGGAAAATAAATTGATGCGGTGCACCTGTAAAACGCTCCAACAATGGAGCCGCCTGAGCCAGACGAATGTCAGTCCGTGTGATGCGGCCGACCGCATCCCAGCCAGAAAGTTTGGGAGGGAGGCCACCGAGACTCAGTTAATTTTGAGTAAATTGTTAGAGAATTGTTTTCACTGCTGCTGCTGCTCCTGCTGGGCAAGACCCTTATGTGGGTGACTTGTGGCCTTCTCTCGAGAATTATGGCATTTAATTACAATGCGTTTTAGGATACTTCTGGTCGGGGAAAGAGATGTAAATGTCTCAATTCCTTAGCCTTCGATTAGGGAGTGATTATTAATTGGTCAAGAAAAAAAACGTATACGCAAAAAAAAATTAAATATTACTCATACGACACGTTGTCAGTAAGAATACATATTTTGATCAAAAGCAAAAGTACATTTAAGTGAAAAGCTCTAAAGCCAAATTCCTTACTGATGATCAGTGATCATATTCCATAAGTATAATATAATATATTTTTCTTTATTCCAAGGAAATGGTATATTATCCATAATTGGTGAAGTATTTCAGAATGTACGCCATTGCCACTGGGTTTTCCTGCTGCACCAGATGACCCGCCCGATAGACCCAGAACATACTGAGTCGTCCGCCGTGTTTTTCGTACCCCTCGAGCATTCCTTCGATCCGGAAGGCGGTACGCGGTGCCATCGCATATTCCGACCTGCCGCCCCACTTCAGTCGGTTGATCCAACTAACGGTGCCCGGCGTGGCACAAAGTAGGTCCAGAATTCCAGAATAAATGCCCACCTTTATGTGCGTCTCCTTTAGCAATCTAGTAACTAAAGGGAGGAAATTGAAGTACAAGTTTTCGAAGTTAGTTCAGTGTTTTGTGTGGCGTTAAAAAAATTCAGCTGATTGAATTTAATTTTAAACACTTTTTATCAGAGCTTGTTAACTCTATTTAATTCGTATAATCATATCAACCGGAATAAAAATGTTTGGCAGGGAAATTCTGAGGAGTAAACTTACATTTGCACTGTTTAAGTTCGCCATTTCAAAATTGTTAATTAACAAATGGCCAAGGAAGGCAAAAAGAATGGAAAACCATAGTTACCTATATGGGTGGCTGGCTTGAAAATATCCGCTTCGAGGCGCATGAAGACGGTGGAATTGTTCTTCATCCACTCGGGCATTTCGACGAGGCCCAGTGCCTGAGTGACATTGGAGCGAACGAATTGGCCCATCAGAGGGGTCCTCACCGTACCGGTAGACCTCGTCCACGTGAACGCGACGCTGAGTGTTGTAGATGAAGACTCCGCCGGTGCTTTCTAGGATCTCCTCCTGAATATCGCTGGCCTTTAACAGGGCACTCGACCACTTTTTGCTGTACACAAGTGCGGCCAGCTCGCCGGCCTTCCGCGATATTCTGCGGTATCCATCCTCATCCACAATGCCCGCTTGGAACAGGAAGGGGGCATACGAGATAACGCTGTCCAGCGGAGAGGTCCAGGGATTGCCCACCACCACGGACTCCAGTCGGCATTGCAATCGGCCCCTCTTCTTGGCCAAATGAAGTTCCAACGCGAACTCCGGGGCCATTTTACCGCCGTAGCTCTCCGAGAAGATGTGCAAGGGTACGTTTCGAAACGCCGGATATTGTTCGAGAAACTGAACCATCAGCTGGACGAGATCAAGCGCTATCTGTCGATTGGTGCTGGCATACTGGCCATGTTCCTCTACGTAGGCGAATCCAGTACCCACGGGGCTGTCCACAAAAAGCACATTCATGTGCCGCACCCAACTGCTTTCCCGCGGCCTGCCCTCGATGTCGATGGGGCCCAGCTGCTCGAAGATCCCACTGCCCGTGGAGGCCACTCCTGGTCCACCCTGCAGCCAGATCACCAGCGGTCTCTCCGTAAAGTGGCTGACATTGGCCGTGGTGTACAGGAGCCAGTAGAAGAGATGGGCGCCCTTGCGAACCTCCACGTAGTCCCACTCCTGCTCTCCAGGTCCCACGCCAACGCGTCCTGGAAGGATACATCTTACTATCAGGACTGGCAAAAAATTGTCAAGCTCTTTTTTTAAGTATTTCTCTCAGCAATCAAATGCCTTGGAATTGTATTTTACTTGCCTGTTTAAACAGTTTTTAATAACATAAAGGTTAGAATTAAAAATGTATTAGTTTTATATATTCTAGCAATAGCATCATGAGAAGCAAAAGTTAAATTAAATGAATTAGTAATCAGATTGTGTAAAGAAGCCTTAAAAACAACATTCATTGTATTATTTCTCAAGCCAAATGTAAATTTTTTAGCCAATCGTTTTATATGTGTCTAAAAGTATATAAGTGTTTTAACCATAGTATTTGTATATAATTGATTAATTTAAAAGTTTGATTTCACTGAAATAATTATTAAGTTTTTATTTGGGCCACCACAATTTGTTATTTAAAGACGAACACACCTTGCACCCATGTCACCGAAATGAAAAAGCACAAAGACCACACCCAAATATTATTTTTATTCAGATTGAGCAGCATTTCGCGGTCAGAAATCAATGGAAAGGAGAGTGGAACTAAACTGTCTGCTCCGGCGGGAAATGCCCACTGATCGCCGCAGCTCTTGGCCGATCGCTAATTTTTCTTGGAAATAGATTCCGTTTTCGGATAAACAATTAAAATGGGGAAATTATGTGATGATCGAAAACGAAATTACCCTTTCCCTTAGCAGTTTTGGCTTATAAGAAAATATTTTTGATAATTTTTTGTGTTTTTGCTCACAATACTCTTGAGATATTTAAATAAACAATTAAAATTATTGAATACAGACTTACCACAAAGTTTCAGGACATATTAAGGACAATACAAATTTCTTACTAACGCAGTTTTATTCAATGTTCATGTGTTAGAAAAAATATTTTTCCTTAACACCATGTGACAGTTTTCTTAAAAAAGCTAAGAGAAGTAGCTTTTGTGTCTGTAGATGCTATTCTTCTGTGTAGACCTCTAAACGAAATCGAATTTGTTTGCTCTTTGATATAAAGTAAACATTGACCCCCATCAGAAAGACCCACCCATTCCCAGCACAATATTAGCTTTGCACTTGGTTAAGACGTCAGCAGAAAATAATGGAAGTGGGCATCTGGCAGACGAAGCCTTTCCAGGCCTTAAATTATATTCGAAACCTATCGTTTATTTATGGTATATTAAATGAAAATTATTAATTAACTATTCGGTTGATTCGGCATCATACTCAGTGACGGACTTTAGGACATATTGCATGGCAGTTGGGTTGTCGGAGGGTGCCAAATGTCCCGACCGATTGATCCAGTACATCCCGAAGTTGCCCCCGACTTTTTCGTAGCCCTGGAGTATTCCATCGACGACGATGGCAGTGCGATTGGCCCGGAGATAGTCCGACTTATCCTTCCAGACCCAGTCCTTGATCGTGGCCAGAGTGGCTGAGGTGGGTACCAGGGCATCCAACTGGCCGGAATAAATATTTATCTTAACGGAGGTCTCGTTTAGCAGACGAGGAACTGTAAGGACGTTTAATAAAATAAGTAAAGTAAAGATTTGGTTACTTGAATTTGACTACATAAATTTAAATTGTATTACTCACTTGCATTAATGTCCGATATAAGGCGATCTCCGTGCAGAATCGTGAGCACATCAATGACCTGAGACGCATAAACATCACCGTCAATTTGCAGGGCCTTACTCACTTCAACCTCCATCAGGGTGTTCAATTCAGGTCCGTAGCCGTAGGTGCGATCCTCAGAGGGATCGATGTGGGTCTGTGTGTTGTATACGTAGATCCCACCGGTCAGTTCTTGCATGATGTCGAACCATGCTAAATACTCATCAGTGGCCTTTTCGAACTCGTGATTCTTGAGGGCGCTCAGGATTTTCTCCTCTTGGGCATCTATTTCCGCCACCCCATCCTCATCGATTAGACCATTGACGAACAAGTACTTAGAGTGTTCGCGACAGATATGGCGAGAGGATATCCAGGGATTCCCGATGGTCACGGTCTTTAGTATTCCAGGTTCTGCCAGTTCACCAGCCTTCATGGCCTTTTCCAGTTTGATGGCCAAGGCCGGAGCCACTTTACCTCCATAACTTTCTGAGAAAATGTGCAGCGGGACACTCTTAAACTCGTTGTGCGACTTATAGAAGTGCAACATGAAGGTCATGAGGTCGTCGATTAGCTCATCGTCATTGGTCACCAGCAGATCGATGTTGTCGGCAGAGCTGTAGCCCGATCCCACGGGACTGTCGATGAAGAGCACGTTGACGTGCTGCACCCAGTTTCCCTCCCGCGGTGCGCCCTTTATATCCACTGGTCCCAGTTCCACGAAATTGCCCAAAGCGGAGGATGAGCCACCGGGTCCACCTTGGAGCCAGAGGACCAACGGTCGCTCCGTATAGCTGCTCACATTGGCCGTGGTGTAGTAGAGCCAGTAGAACATGTGGGCCCCCTCCCGCACGTCCACGTAGCCCCAGTCCTGCTCCCCAGGTCCAAATCCCTTGCGGGCCTCTGAAAATCCCAGCAGGAGACACACGATCGCCAAGGAACAGCACCACATTCTCACAGATATGTTGAAAAATCACTGGAGTCTTCGCAACCTTATTTGCAGCTATTTATCGGATTGGAGAGCAATAAATTTTGCATACCAGATGAGACGTGACCCTGAATTTAAGAGGTGTTCTTTATCTGCTTACTTTTGGGCAAACACTTTCTAAGATTAAAACGAGTGCCTTGACTATAAGATACCCCATAATTGGCTTACCAAAATAGAAATGCCCCACTATCTGCCGAACTGCAGTGCCAAATAGAAAAAGCTGATAGTCCATAGATATTGATCTAATAAGTTTTCAAGAGCAGTGCCAACATAGGCTGCCCAATAACTGAGCACTAACAAGTGTCTACAGAGTTTCGCAAAACTTATTTTAAAAACCCAATTGTAAGGTATCTTATAGTAGAGTCTTCTACGTTGCATGTTTAATTTATTTATTTTACCACGACTACATACCTCTCATTTGTTTACTAATCCACAGAAGAAAAAAATCCAAAAGCAAGAGTATAAACATGTAAACAACTTAATAAAAGAACCAAGAACAAAATGTATTGATTCTTTTATATTTTCTAGCTCACAATACATTCTCCCTTTTTCTGGCCCTCAGAAATAAACTTTTCCACATATGTAGAAATGTTCATATGCCCAGAGGTTTCACATAGATTTAAGGCTGTTGAGTTTTTCGGTAGTCATAAGTTTTCTTTAGGACAAAAGTACTTATTTATACATGAATATTTTATATGTTATCAATATTTGTTAACTATATAAACTATGACAACCTTTTGTTGATCACAATAAAGACAAATATATAGCAAATATTAATTTCTAGAAAATATTTAATTTTTTGTTCTAGATTCTTAGTTTATTAGATGCTGGATAAAGTCCTTTTGCTGAAGGCATGAGGTTTGGTTCAAATTCATATACAAAACAAGAGAGAACGCTATAGTCGGGTGCCCCGACTATCAGATACCCGTTACTCAGGTAAAGGGAGTGCGAGGGAGATGGAGATAGAAACTTTGATCACGCATAACTTTTTAACGAATGGTCCGATATGAAAAATTTCTTCTACATTTCGATAGGTATTGATAAACACAATAAAACTGCATTTTTACTTTTCCGAAATATTTAAATTTTTAAAATCGTATATGAGCGATTGTGGGCGTTAAAGGGGGCGTGGCACCATTTTGAAACAAACTTGCGCTGCGTAGGAACTTCTAAAATCTACATGCAAAATGCCAATCTTCTAGCTTTTATAGTTTCCGAGATCTCAGCGTTCATACGGACGGACAGACAGACGGACAGACAGACGGACAGACGGACAGACGGACATGGCTATATCGACTCGGCTAGTGACCCTGATCAAGAATATATATACTTTATAGGGTCGGAAACGCTTCCTTCTAGCTGTTACATACTTTAGCACGAATACAATATACCCTTTTACTCTACGAGTAACGGGTATAACAAGAGAGAACGCTATAGTCAGGTGCCCCGACTATCAGATACCCGTTACTCAGGTAAAGGGAGTGCGAAAGAGATGGAGATAGAAACTTTGATCACGCATAACTTTTTAAGGAATGGTCCGATTTGAAAAATTTCTTCTACATTTCGATAGGTATTGATAAACACAATAAAACTGCATTTTCACTTTTCCGAAATACTTAAATTTTTAAAATCGTATATAAGCGATTGTGGGCGTTGAAGGGGGCGTGACACCTTTTTGAAACAAACTTGCGCTGCGTAGGAACTCCTAAAATCTACATGCAAAATGCCAATCTTCTAGCTTTTATAGTTTCCGAGATCTTAGCGTTCATACGGACAGACAGACGGACAGACGGACATGGCTATATCGACTCGGCTAGTGACCCTGATCAAGAATATATATACTTTATAGGGTCGGAAACGCTTCCTTTTAGCTGTTACATACTTTTGCACGAATACAATATACCCTTTTACTCTACGAGTAACGGGTATAACTACATTGTTAAGGTACTTAAAGATTTTACGGGTTCTATGTTTACAAATAAATAGTATTAAAAAAAAAAACAAGAGAGAACGCTATAGTCGGGTGCCCCGACTATCAGATACCCGTTACTCAGGTAAAGGGAGTGCGAGGGAGATGGAGATAGAAACTTTGATCACGCATAACTTTTTAACGAATGGTCCGATTTGAAAAATTTGCATTTCGATAGGTATTGATAAACACAATAAAACTGCATTTTTACTTTTCCGAAATATTTAAATTTTTAAAATCGTATATAGGCGATTGTGGGCGTTAAAGGGGGCATGGCACCTTTTTGAAACAAACTTGCGCTGCGTAGGAACTCCTAGAATCTGCATGCAAAATGCCAATCTTCTAGCTTTTATAGTTTCCGAGATCTCAGCGTTCATACGGACGGACAGACAGACGGACAGACGGACATGGCTATATCGACTCGGCTGGTGACCCTGATCAAGAATATATGTACTTTATAGGGTCGGAAACGCTTCCTTCTAGCTGTTACATACTTTTGCACGAATACAATATACCCTTTTACTCTACGAGTAACGGGTATAAAAAGAAAAAATTAGATGCTGAATTATTTTAACATACTTTGAGGATTTCACGCATAAATTGCAAAATAGCTTATCATACTTTTCTGGTGCTATTGAGAAATATACTGTATCTACTCAATATAAAAGACCCTAATTAATAGTCATCAGTCGTTTCAGCATACATAAACTTTGATTACAGATAACCAGTTGTTCCAAAATTTCGCTTGCAGACACACCTCACAATTTTCATTTATTTTTCAATGCTGCTTGTCTGTTTTTCGTGTCCAACGCCGATGTTTTTATGTCGTAATTGTCAAAGTGAAAATTGCTTAATTTCAATTTCAACGCATCTAGATCAATGGACAGTTTTGTGGATGCCAAAAAAAAAACCGACTGTCCGGAAGTCCGAAAAAAAAGGAGTGGTAAATGAATCCGATTTCTGTTTTCTGTGGCTGCACCCGGAAAAGTAATTACCAAATGTTTGTTTGCTCCACGCAAGTCGAAAGCAGGACGGCAAAAAGCGTACGATGTGAGCAGTTCCTTCGTCCACGGCTCGTTCCGACTGCTTTTGACAACTGCAAGTGGTTGGACGCCACAAAACCACCTACCTTGCAGGATCCAACACCCACCACTACCCAAGCCCACTGCCAATTTTGACCGGGTCGCTGTGCAGTTTTAATGAGAGCGCCACCTGGCGGCGGCGTCTGTCATCGGAGGCCAGTTGACGCCGGGGAGCGACCGCAAACGGAAATCAATTTGCCACGGGAGCAAAACCAAAATTGCCAGTTCAATGCGTTTTCGATTGTCCATTAAGCAGCTCCTGCCGCTGGCTTTTTGCCCGCTTTCAAAAGTCATTTTCAAGCAATTGGCCGGGCTGGCACAGCAATCCTGCAGATACAAAGGGAGCTGTGTGTTCCAAGATACATTTCCTCTTCATGGCTGTATTAAGAGACAAATTTATCACACTTTATTTTGATTTGCCGTTTAGTTTAATACACAATTCCCGATTGGACATTTCATGTACACACCGCTGAGGAGGTCAGATCAATTCAAGAAGTACTTTATTATTTTATATTAAAAATGAAAAAACTTAAAAAAAGACATGATATTTCATTGAACCATTAATGTATAAGGGTGTTACTCTTTATAACAGATGGAAATAGACCCATAATGAATTTTAAGATTTTTGTAGGCCACCACCATCTTTAGATAAAGACGTGCTCACCTTGTACCAAATATAAGTTCTATTTTGCTTCTTTTATTTTGTTTTAGCTCACAATACTCTTGAGATATTTAAATAAACAATTCTCATTATTCAACACAGACTTAACCAAAAAGACTTAACCACACTTGGTTAAGACGTCAGCAGAAAATAATGGAAGTCGGCATCTGGCAGACGAAGCCTTTCCAGGCCTTAAATTATATTCAAAACCTATCGTTTATTTATGAAATATTAAATGAAAATTATTTATTATACTCAGTGACGGACTTTAGGACATATTGCATGGCAGTTGGGTTGTCGGAGGGTGCCAAATGTCCCGACCGATTGATCCAGTACATCCCGAAGTTGCCCCCGACTTTTTGGTAGCCCTGGAGTATTCCATCGACGAGGATGGCGGTGCGCTTGGCCCGGAGATAGGCCGACTTATCCTTCCAGACCCAGTCCTTGATCGTGGCCAGAGTGGCTGAGGTGGGTACCAGGGTATCCAACTGGCCGGAATAAATATTTACCTTTACGGAGGTCTCGTTTAGCAGATGAGGAACTGTAAGGACGTTTTATAAAATAAGTAAAGTAAAGATTTGATTACATGAATTTGACTACATAAATTTAAATTGTATTACTCACTTGCATAAATGTCCGATATAAGGCGATCTCCGTGCAGAAACGTGAACACATCAATGACTTGAGACGCATAAACATTACCGTCAATTTGCAGGGCCTTACTCACTTTAAACTCCATCAGGAGGTTCAATTCAGGTCCGAAGCCGTAGGTGTGATCCTCAGAGGGATCGATGTGGGTCTGTGTGTTGTATACGTAGATCCCACCGGTCAGTTCTTGCATGATGTCGAACCATGCTATATACTCATCGGTGGCCTTTTCGAACTCGTGATTCTCGAGGGCGCTCAGGATTTTCTTCTCTTGGGCATCTATTTCCGCCACCCCATCCTCATCGATTAGACCATTGACGAACAAGTACTTAGAGTGTTCGCGACAGATATGGCGAGTGGATATCCAGGGATTCCCTATGGTCACGGACTTTAGGATTCCAGGCCTTGCCAGTTCACCAGCCTTCATGGCTTTTTCCAGTTTGATGGCCAAGGCGGGAGCCACTTTACCTCCATAACTTTCTGAGAAAATGTGCAGTGGGACATTCTTTAACTCGGTGTGCGAATTATAGAAGTGCAACATGAAGGTCATGAGGTCGTCGATGAGCTCTTTGTTGTTGGTCACCAGCAGACTGGTGTTGTCGGCATAGCTAAAGCCCGATCCCACGGGACTGTCGATGAACAGCACGTTGACGTGCTGCACCCAGTTTCCCTCCCGCGGTGCGCCCTTTATGTCCACTGGTCCCAGTTCCACGAAGTTGCCCAAAGCCGAGGAGGCGCCACCGGGTCCACCTTGGAGCCACAGGACCAACGGTCGCTCCGTATAGCTCCTTACATTGGCCGTGGTGTAGTAGAGCCAGTAGAACATGTGGGCCCCCTCCCGCACGTCCACGTAGCCCCAGTCCTGCTCCCCAGGTCCAAATCCCTTCCGGGCCTCTGAAAATCCCAGCAGGAGACACACGATCGCCAAGGAACAGCACCACATTCTCACAGGTAGGTTGAAAAATCACTGGAGCAACCTTATTTGCAGCTATTTATCGGATTGGAGAGCAATAAATTTTGCATATCAGATGAGACGTGACCATGAATTTAAGAGGTGTTCTTTATCTGCTTACTTTTGGGCAAACACTTTCTAAGATTAAAACGAGTGCCTTGCCTATAAGATACCCCATAATTGGCTTACCAATTTCAAAATAGAAATGCCCCACTATCTGCCGAACTGCACTGCCAAATAGAAAAAGCTGATACTCCGTAGATATTGGTCTAATAAGTTTTCAAGAGCAGTTTTAACAAGAAAGGAAAGCTAACCTCGGGCGGAGCCGAAGTTGATATACCCTTGCAGAATACTCTGTAAATTATATTCTCCAAAATTATTCATATGATGCATTCTTAATACTCATAAAAAATCCCAACTTCCTAACTTTAAAAACACCAAAGTTATGGCATTTCCGATCAATCAGTTATATGGCAGCTATAGGATATAGTCGGCCGATCCTTATAAAATTCGGCATGTCGGATTGATTAGCCAAATATAAAACCCTTAGAAAATCCCAACATTCTAACTTTACAACCACCAAAGTTATGGCATTTCCGATCAATCCGTTATATGGCAGCTATAGGATATAGTCGGCCGATCCCAGCCTTTCCGACATATATACTGCGTGCAAAGGAAAGAAGGGTGTGTGCAAAGTTTCAATTCGATAGCTTTAAAACTGAGAGACTAGTTTGCGTAGAAACAGACAGACGGACAGACAGACGGACAGACGGACATGGCTATATCAACTCAGGAGGTGATCCTGATCAATAATATATATACTTTATAGGGTCGGAGATGTCTCCTTCACTGCGTTGCACACTTTTGACCAAAATTATAATACCCTCTGCAAGGGTATAAAAAGGAGGTTTGGTTTACTTTAGAAAAGTAAAGTTGGGATCAGTTTTCCCTATAACCATATTTAAATAATAAATTCTTTGCTTATTTGTTAAGTTTCTTCTTTTACGTTATACTTGGTGTTGGTTGGGGTAATAATTGGGTTCGGCTTAACATAGGATACAAATATTTAAATTAATGAATTTTGGAATTAATTTTAACATATTATATAAAAAAGAAAATTTGGGAGATTTGAAAACTAACGAAAGTCCAATTATTTATTTCAGGAACACAAGTGGCGTGCATGTGAGGCCACTCGCATGCACAATAAATTGTTGCTAAAGTGCCACGCCCACTGTCGCCTCCAAATGCAGATCCTTAGCAAGGAGTCGGGATGCAGGATGCATTCGAGTGCGAAATTGCAAGCACTAGGGGGACGACCCTTCCCGAACCCACTGTGCACAGTGGGTGTTGCCAAATCCAAGCCCACACAGATACACACCCACACCAGCACAGCCCATTTGACGCTGTTTTTCATGTCACTCCGCCAATGGAAGCTCCAAATTTTCCTCCTCTGTCGCTGGCATCGCATTGTTTTTGTCACGTAAATTACAAGTTTTTCATTTTCGATGTGGCTGGCGAACTTGGCCCTTCATTTCGCTTCGTTTCTTTTCTTTCACTCATTACTTGAAAAATAATACTCAGCCAAACAACAAAACAATGAAAGTCTATGGAAATTAAGCATCCGCAATAAGTAATTGTAATTAGTGTGAATGAATTTATGGGTCAGATTTGGAGTATCAAAGGAAGATTGATAGCTATGAGATATTTACATTTTAAGCCTAATTTATTATCAATTTCTAAAAGAATTACTTACCTATTGAACACATAGCCTTGAAAGACACACATCGCATAAGTGATCAAATAAAACCATCTTTATTTGGCTTCCATCAATGTTTCTTACGCACACGTTCAACTTAGGGTCACACTAGAGTTATCGCTATAGCTAAACATTTTAGTTGTACAGTTTTTCAAACAGACACAGAAGAACAGAACAATGAATCTGCCTAGAAACCACAATCTTAACAATAAATCCTCGACAAAAACCCAACGAAAGCAAACATTTAGAATCCTGCTTAGAGAGTAGGTATATGTGTGTATGCCTGGTGAGTATGCGATGCCTATTTACATTTGACTTGGGAATAGAGGAGTACGACGGGTAATTGGAAATGCACTTGTCTTTACAGTTACGTACTTAACATAGGTATAGGTATATATGAGTAGGTATATTCGGTATGCTGAGGACCTCATTCACTGTTGATTTGCTATTCGATTCGCTAAATATGGGTTCCATAATTTGCAGGGGTTCTCTTCTGTCTCAAGTCCCGCCTAAAGTCCATCTCTCCTGCCATCGGCCAGCTTATCACCGCTCCGCCCTGTCCAAAAGTCGGTCCTCCAACAGGTTCCCCAGTCGGTTCTCCCAAACGCACAAAGCCCAAGCACTTGGCCACAGGAGCAGGAGCAGAAACAGAGTGGGATTCCAGGCGAATAGTCCGGCAGCGGTATCTGAAATAACACAAAACAAAAAAGATTTGGCTTAGACGATGGAGGGATGAGGCCAAGAGATTGAAATCAGCTTCGGATGCCCGGCACCCGCCGGTAAAATTAATCTTTGAATTAATTGCTCCCAGCTTACCGCAGAGCATTAATAAATCGCCGACGGTCAGAGGGACCCACACACAAGGATACGAATCGGGCTAATAAGGTGCTCGGTCCTTTTTCGCTAACTTTGATTTAATGCCCACCAGTTTATCACTGTAATGGCGTGCGTGTAAATGTATCCCCTGTGCATATGTTTGGCTTGTAAAACAATCATCCCAAGATCTGTAGGCCCGGTTTTGTTTGGGTCAGTTGCCCCCCATTTGCCTGACATTTGGGGCGTGGCCATTGCCTATCTGTGGACCAATTTTTAAACAGTAACTGCAGACAAAGCTTACCTACTAATGACCGGAAGTTAATCAAATAGAATATTGATTGGCTTGAAAAAAAAAACAATGGGAATGGATGTTTCCTTTTATCTTTAACTTTTTCTTTGGAAATGTGAGACTGTTAGCATTCAATGAATGTTTCTTTTGACCATTAGTTAGTTAGAGTCTACACCTTTTCATTTTGGAGTAAATAAATATTTTAATTTTCAAACTAAGACAACTTTTTAGTTTTAAGGTTACTTAAACGTTTTATTTTTCTGAGATGGTATACTAATTTTTAACTAATACTCACTTGAATGAATCAAATACAATTCGTTATGCTCATCCACATCACCGGGCTGATCGAAGGGATACATATTCATTTCGGGCGATCTTCCTGAAGCCAGAAACCTGGGCCGATCCTCCTCGATCATTTTTTCGCTCTCTTGGGCATAGATTTTGTGTATTCGAGCCGAACACTTCAACTGTGAATATATTTATAGCCTGTTTAAGGGTTCTATAAATTGAGCTGAATGCAAACTCACCTTCAAGCGACTCTTGTTGAAGTGATGTACGGTGACCACGAAGTTGATCTCCAAAACTGCCGACTCCAGGTGCTCGGCCAAATGCCGCTGAATGTCGTAGATGCGGAGATAATTCGGAGGCACCTGGATGTCGTTGATCCACCAGGTGAGATTCGCCGCCGGCTTGGAGTAATCCGATGAGCAGTTGCCATTCACAACGTCGCCCAGGCGATATCTCGAATGGATGCCCGTAATTATGGGTCGTTGAGTGGGCAATTCTGGGGCCAAAAACACGAGGCAAGTTAGTGACATGTGGGCGGATAAGCACCTGATTACTTACCAACCACCTCCATGTCGGCAGCCACGATGGAAGTATCGAAGGTGGGTGCATCCGCGGACACTTCGCAGGCAAACTTGCCCGATATTGAGGTGGGAACATTTCGCAGCAGAACATGGCTGGCATTCGATTGGGTAGTCTGAAAAATTTTGATATTGGGGAAACTCTTAGATTAAGCTCTGTTGGTATAAATTAAGTTGCCATTGTTTTAGCAATTTTAATAAATTCGCAGACTAGACTAAATTTAAATTGGTAGTCAAATTATAAAACAAATAAAAATCTTGAAGCAAAAACAAATACAGAAAATATTTTAAAATAAAACATTCAAATAGTTTTTAAACTTTTGCTTGCACTTTCTGGTCACTTTTTTCATTAAATGCTGATGGCAAAGCAATCTAGATTTTCAATGATATAGCCAATGGTTTTGTACGTCTTCGATAAAATAATTGTTTTCAGTTAAACAAGGCGTATAACGCAACCCACAGCTATTTGCGTTCTGCGTTTACGTAAGTGCTTACATAAGATAGGCGTAACCTTTGTTGCTGCTCTCCACCACTTTTTTAATATATAATTTTTTTCAGTCCTTTTGCAACGTCGTTTTTAATATCGAAATGTCAGCAAAAGTCAACAATAAGAGCGCAGCAAATGGAAAGTCAAAATTGTTAATTAAAACTTTTTAACATGCATAAAACCAACATGGATGCACACATGAACATCGAAAGCAGGTCGATTGTTTATACAGCCCCCTTACTGCAGTTGCTGCTGTCGTTAATACCATCAGCAACATCCCGGCAGCAGCAGCAACAGCAACGGCAACAGCAACAGCACGGCAGCAACAAAGAAGCCCATCAGCAGCACTTTGCCTTCAGTTATTTAAAGCAATTTACACTGGCAACTCTTTTGCTTTCGTTTCTTTTCCCTTGTCTCTGTTTTTCAGTTTCAATAAAACCCATCATCATTATTATCAACAGCCTTCGGAGCACTTATCAAGTGTTGCCAACTTAGCCTTTTGCTAGCCATATGGTCTACTTCGTAATAACTTGATGATATACAAAATAACATACGCCTTAAAAGTAAAACAACAACAAACTGTTTTGAATTTGAAGCGCAGTAAAATCATACTTTGTTTAAATACAATTTGTAAATTGTAATTTGTAATATAAGCAAAACAAAATGTATTTCAAATATTATTTAATGCAAGAACACGCTCATTTGATTCACTTTAAAATTCAAATTCAGAAACTCACAAAAGAATTTATAATAAACTAAGGTTGTAATTTAAACGACTGACTTAAACATTTGAAAATTACTCTGCAAATTTTTATAAATAGTTATTTAAAATAAATACTTATTTAAAAGCCACCAGCATAAACCTTTTCCCAGAAAATATAGAAAATATAAAAAAAATTTGAAAGAAACAACATTATTTAACATAATCTTAAATCCAAAAAATCATTTATATAAGTAATCCTAATCATATTGTGCAACTCTCTCTATACCGTCATTTATTAGAAATATATGTTTTATATATATATGTTTTCTGTTTTCTTAAATGAAATGGTGTTAGCTACTTAGTTGGCAGCTCTGCCATTACCTCGACATCGATTTCGTTCGTTTTGGTGAATATCTTCCAGGCCGGATTCTCCTTTGGCGTGTAGCGATAGAACTCCCGTCTGCCGCGGTACCACTTCACCGTGTAGAGCGTGTCGTTCTCGATGTCATAATTGCAGATTAAGAGCGCATTATCGCCCCGCTTAACGGCGGACGGGATGCGAACGTTGACATTGCGCAGCCCCACAGTGAGACCTGGAAAAAGAGGACGGCATGGGAGCGGTGTAATGAGTTGTTGCCATGGGATCGGAGTGCGGAGTGCGCAGAACAGCAGCTCGGAGCGGCTTAAATATGACAAGTTATTGTGGCTTAATTATGATCCCCCGGAGGATTACACGGGATTTCTCGCGCACGGCAGCAACTTTTACTGCGCCTTAACAAGGGGGTAAATCATGGCAAGTAAGACCAAAAATAAACAAACTTTTCACAATCGAATAGAGCAACATAATATTATGCGTTTGCTGCGGAAAAGTTCTTGTGAAATACAGTACTTATTTATTAAAACCATTCTAAAAGAAAAAAGTTTTTTAGCTTCAAGAAAATGTAGGGAAACGTTTTAAAACCCTCTGCCTATGCAATAAATATTTTTTTTGTTTAAAGAAAATTTTAAAAAAATAATTGTGATAATTTTTTTTTTGCACAGTGTGCCGCACAACAACAGCCATGAATAAAAAGTAGGTCACCAACCATGAAAGCGCCAAAAACCCATCAAAAAACCAAAAAAAAACTCCACTATATCAATAGCCCGCGGGTGTGAAAGAGACAACCGGAAGAGCCGCACTCAAAAAACTGAATATAAAATACAAATGTGCGATCACCAGTTGGAGCCAGTGCCCCAAGCTGTTCGCCTGTTCCAAATTATAAAAAGCTTCCTAGAAAAATTAAAATCGAAAGTGAAATGCTTCAGATAGTGGGTCCACTCTCCTCGGGAGAGCCGTAAATCATAAAGGGGGCCCGACTTTTTTTGTTTTCAACCATTAACAACGGACAAGTAGGAAATCGAGTTGGGGCAGCCGACCAGGGGCCCAGAAACTTTAGGTACAACCCTCTGTCAAAGGTTGCTGGGCAGCTCCTCGAGTTCAATGACCTCCGGGGAAGCGGCAAAGATTTTGTGGCGGTGAGCACATTATAACAGATGACCGCACCCAATGAGTGGTAATTTATGGGTGCGTGTGCGTGGCTGGTGTTTGCGTATCTCATTCTTTCAATTGGGAAAGTTTCTCTGGTGTGTTGGCACCCTTTGAATTCATTATGTTTTCGATGGACTCAATTGTGATGGTTCTATGAGAGAACTGCCCAGTCAATCAGCATTGACATTCTCACTAATAAAAATGTTTCTTTCAAAAAAGACTATACTGTATTATAGGTATTAAAATAATTATACTTATAACTCGCTAAAATTTATAAAATAGGTACAATTCCACAATCTATTAAATGGCAATTCTAGTTATAAGCTGGTTACTCTTGGCTATTAACTGAAAAACTATATTCTTTGATCACAGAAATGGTAAATAAAAAATTTATAAAAGGGTTACAAAGGTTAAGGGTTACTTTAAAAAAATGTTAATGAAAAATATTTAGTTAATTCACTATTATGATGAGAATACATTCACCATTTTCACAAATTAAGTTAATCCCAAACCGTTTAAAAGTGATTATAACTTTGACTCTTAGCTTGAATTGTGACAACAAAAAAAACCCGGTAAAGTGAAGTCCTAACTTTTAATGGTTTGAATTGTTGGTTTTCAGAGTTATAAATACACAAAAAAAACAGAAGCCCTAAAAATAAGCAAAAACAAAAAATATTACGGTTACAGTAAATTTAATAGCAACAAATTTTTTAATTTGATTATTGACCACTTATTGTGTTGTTGTTTGTCTATTTTGGTGTTGCTCAGTTCACTTTTCTCGTAAGCTTTTTTTCTACTATTACATACATATGGATGTTTAGTTGATTTTTCCCATCGTTATTTAACACATAAGATATTGAAACCAAAGAAAGAGTTTTCCCGCCTGTGCTTTAAATTCTTTACTACAAAATAGGTTCCATAGTCTGATATCCTAAAATAGCTATTTATAATTTGTAAAAAAGAACCAATGAAAACAGTAAACCGGTTTCTTGGGGCCCAACGTTGGGGTCTGTTTAAACAATTGCTTGTCCCCAGTTGGTAACTGAGTTCGTCGCCGGATCGCGGTTCGTTTCTGGTTAACCTTGAATACTAATTGTTGTTTCACGTTGATTTTAATGGAACTCGCTGCGTACCAAGCGCGTTGTCGTTGTTTTCATATCAGCATAAAAATTTCATGCTGCCGGTCGTCGTAGCTGCTTTTCATCGCTGGGCGCCGGATCGAAATAGTACGAAAAAACTAATCTCATCCGCCGTGCCGGCTTTTCTAGCCGGCCGCCGACCGCTGGCCAGCACAAATTTGCGTAAACAGAGCACTATTTGTTTTGCCGAATGGCGAGAGGGGCACTTTTCTGGCGGAGAACTGCTAGCGAGCAGCCACCGACCGACTATTTAGAAACCGTTGCTGTTCTATTTTGGCCAGGCCAACAGAAGAGGGCCAACAACGCTGCTGCCAACTTGACGCCACACGTACTTAATTCAAGGAAACCTTGGGCTCGTCGTCTCGATCGAACTGGAAAACCTTGGAAAACCAGAAGCGGGCCTCGGCGTGAAATAATAAAAACAACTGCAAAACGCCCCAATAACAATGGATCGGCAAGGAGCTCATAAACACACAAAGGGCACCTAGAATGAATAGGATAGAGAAGGTGCCCATAATTAAAACCAATAAGTATTGAACCAAATCCATATTCGAGTGTAAAAGGGGTACAAATAACTTTATATGCATAATACAAATTTATTTATTAAGGGTTAAATCATTCTAATACTAACAAACACCAAAACCAAAATGATTCTTTAGCTTATAAGTATAATTAATGCAAATATATAAAAATAGATAATTATTGACCATCGGATTTAAATATTCTTACTTTTGCTTTTAAAGTAAGACCAACTGATTAATCAGAATTTTCGAGTTTATCGTTCATTTTCAATACGAACGCTTATTTGTGGTTGAGAAAGGTCCATATTGCATTAATTCAATTCTCAAAGGAACTTTAATGCGCATCTGATTTTAAAGAACCCTTTGCCCAGTTGAGATGCGCGTTTTTTCCCATCCTTCTTTTTCCTTTTCCCTAGAACCTGAATGCCAAAGACTCCTTTGCCATTTAAATTCAGTATTAAAACCCGCATTACGTCCGACATGCCCTGGGCGCTTCTTGCAAATCTCCCCCGTTCATTCCACACCATTGTTTAAGTTTCGACACAAATAAAAACAACAAAATATAACGAAACATAACGAAACCGAAAAGCCAGCAGCAGGAAAACGAGGTCACCAGCAGTGAACAGCCAACTGAAGTGCGAGCCACTTGGCATTATGTTGGCCTGTTACTAGCTGCCGCTATATTATCGATCATGTTTTGAAAGCGAAAGTGAAGGCGGCAGTCGGACAAGCCCAACAAGACCGAGTTCGTCAACGCACAGTGTGGCATTGCTACAAATGATTAACAATATATTTCGATTCCATTGAAATTTAATATGCGGTAATTGATAGATATAATTTGGTTTTGTCTGGGGAAAGAGGAAAATAAAACTGAGCATTCTATATTAATCTAATATAACTTATTAACACTATGCAAGTTTTGTTTTCCAATTTAGTGAAAAGCAAGGTATGGACTTATTTAATTTGTATTATTATTTAGATCGTGCTTTTAACTTTAAAATTAAATTAGACTAAATGAAAAGATTCCAGTATAAGAAAAAAATTGAAGTTAAAATATTTATATTAATGTATTAAATTTGTATTAAATATTACATCTATAATACTGTAGAAATTTAGCGACAACCAAGCAAATAGTAAAATAAGTTAAGTTTTTGAAGACGCTATTAACATAACTTTTTATATTCATAATATCATTTTACAACCATACCTACAAAAAACTGAAAATAACCAAACGAGTGCAACTTTTTTGATCTTGTTTTAAAGACATTAAGCCCACTGTGCGCTGCAGATAAATTTACAGATACAGATACAGATACGGATACGAACGCAGTGCGGACTCAGATACGGTTCGTTGGCTGGGGCTGTCTGGACGCCTGGTCGCCGAGCAAAGCCGGCTATCGATTTCTACATAAAAAACGAAAGTGAATTTCATCCGAGTGGTCCGCTGGTCGGATGCTCTTCGCTTGACCCAGTTTTTGGGCGCGTTCGCTGACCTCGGGCGCCCAAGGTTCAACGCCCCAAGGTGAGCGGCCGCCAACGGTGTCACGTTCAGGGCCCGTCCCTGACCCACCGGCACTACTGGTGATATCGGAATCCACCAGCACCACCGATCGACGATTGAAAGAAAAATCAGACGCCTGTTGCGCCAACCAGGCGATCAGAAAACTCAGTGGGCAACCCTATAAAAAGTGGTGCTTTCTTTTTCGGTAGGTCATCGAACCCGGACTCCAAATTTTGGAGATCGTTGACCGCAGCGGTGGTGGGTGTGTGAAAGAGATGGCAAACGACAGTGCAAGAGAGATAGCTGACGAGTGAATGAGTCTCCTGTGGTGCGAACGAGAGGGCTAGTTGATAAAGCAAGAGAGAGGGCATGCTGCTCGAGTGTTCAGCGTCAGAGAAACGCTGACACACATTTCATGACATCGGCAATCAACAGGACAGTACGCACTCGATAAACTAAGCTCGAGAATTTGTATCATTTAGCTTAACTCAAATTGCTTAATATTATATATTTTTTAATTTTATAGACTCTTAAAATAATTAAAAAGAAACCCTAATTATTTACTTTAAATGCAATATGTTATTTTTAAAGTAATTAATTAACTTAATTTACTGTTTAATTTATTTTTCTATATTGGTATTGTAAAAATGAGAAATTGATCTTTTAGGTTCAAGCTTGTAAAAACATTTTCAATTTTTTCAAACAAATTTTGATTTTAAAAAATTAAACTTACAATTCAATTTTCCACAATTCATAAAGTTATTGATTGATAAATTTCTAACAATATCCGTGTGTGTACCAAGTGCCTTATCTTTAACTATTTTGTAACATCTAGTACTAGGATAAATAATAATAAGAAATTATTGATATATAACGTAATCGTAATTTGATTATCATTCAATAA